GTGCGTGTTTTATTGATTAATGACCAAAATCAGATTCTTCTGCTCTGTGCAGATGACCCGAGCACAACGGATTTAGATGGAAAGTACCGAGGGACTTTTTGGTTTATGCCTGGAGGAAAACCAGAAAAAGATGAAACCTTGGAACAAGCCGCCGTTCGTGAAATCTTTGAAGAGACAGGCCTGAGAGACGATCAAATTCATTTTGGGCCTTTTGTGTGGAAAGAGTCATTCACTTTTATTTTGCAAGGAGTTCCAACCTTATTGCATCAAAAGTTTTTGGTGGCTCATACTTCAGAAACAAAGACGACTTTTGATCATTTAATGCCGGAGGAAAGAGAAGTTCTGAAGGAGCAAAAGTGGTTTTCAGTTGAAGATATTCAACTCTGCCCTGAGACGATCTATCCAAATAACTTAGCAGAACACCTTCCTAGAATTTTACAGAGGCATTATCCTGACGCTCTGATCTATATCTCTGAAGAAAAAGCTTAAATAGGGCTGATCCCTTATAACTTTGTTATGCGTTGTTCGCCGCTTATGTATAGCAAATCCCTTTAACGATTTCTCATCGTCGTTTCGCTCCTCACCTATGTTTTAATAGGCTTCGTCACTTGCTCCTTGGGAAATCGCTAAATCAATCCGCTATATGTCTCAATACACTTCATTCCTTCGCACCTGTAACAAAATTAAATGGATTCACCGATAGAGAGTGGTGTTATGCCTGTTACAGGTCCCGTGGCCTCAAACCCTTGTGCCTTTAATTCACCTGTTGCGGGACAGCTTTGAAAAATAAGGCGTGTCCTTTTATTAACGACGGGTGCCCCTAAAGGGCTCCAGTTTTGAGGAGTGCTAGAATGGATTAAATCTTTCATTACTTTGCACCGTTCTTCATTTTCTACACCACGAGGATGCCCTTTTAATTGATTGTTTAGCCATTGATTGGCAATGACATTTGTTCCATCATGGGTGAATTGGTTGGTTTCAGTACGTTCTATGATACATCGTTCTTCTGGTTCTGTGCCAACAAGAGAAAACAGGGCTGGAATGCAAAGAGGGTAAGTTTGAAGGACACGCTTAGCTTCTTGATAATTTTTGCAATTTTCAAAAACATAACGTAGAAGATGTGCTGGAGGCCAATGAGAGTTTTTATAAACGTGAATTCGATTTGTGAGCCAGTCTCCTATCATCGTACGGCCATGAGACATGAGAGGCGCTTGATTAATTGCCGCTGCAAATCGCTTTGGAGCCATTCCTTGAATAACGCCAGTAAAGCCTGGCCAGGTTAAGTTGATATAAGATCCAACCTT